TAATAATACTATTTCAAGTCAACTCGAGTCAAGTCGAGTTTGAGTCGAGTTTAAATTGAGTCGAGTTAAATATTTAACTCAACTCAAATTTGATTTAACTCGCAAATCATCGAGTCAAAAAAATATAAACTCGACTTGATTTAAACTCGACTCAGCTTATCTGACTCTCGACTCGTCCAGAACTCTAGATAGAACAACTCTTTCTCAAGTATGCAAATATTGTTAATGTATTAGCAGCACAAAATGAAACTTTAAAGCCTATAAATACTTCACCTAGAAATACAAATACTATTACAAGGAATAATAATGATAAAAAACCTTTTGATAAAAGTTAAGTAGTTTGCTAGCAATGTGATGAAAAAGGCCATTATTCTAGAAATTGTTTGTCAGAAATGCCTCTAAAGGAAAACAAAGAGATGTTAATTTAATCAAAGTTTTTACTGATAACGAAGGAGAAGAAAAAAAATCTGAAGTATATGCAGGAAAAAGGTTTCAACTATATACTACTAATAGAAAGAATGCAAGTGTATGATAAAGAGAAATAACTAGAACCTCTGAGTCAAATAAAGAAATGAATTTCAGAACTTATACTATTAATCCACTAAAATGAAAGTAGAATCTACTCCTAAATAAAAACCAGTTAAAAGAACACAAAATCCTTCAATGATTGATAATCTTATACTATATATTGATGATCATATATAATATTCATTACATACTTTAGTTGAAAATTATTTTCAACTTCACTTAAGAATACATCATATTTGTCTAAATCTTTTTCTTCATATTCATCCAAAACTTAATCTAAGTTTTCTCTTTTATCTACCATTCCTTTTTCAAAGAAAATATTAAAAGTAACTCTTCTAGTAATATATGAGATAAAGGCTGTTTGTATACTAAAGTCAAGATTCATTTTGGTTTTTCTACATTAGTCTACTTCTAATAACAATGTATTCTATGAAGATTTGATTACTTAGAGTTCTACTGGAATTGATATATATTGTATGATTATTCTTGTTTCAGTAATTTGTCCTAAAGCTCTTACATAACTTCTATTTACTGTAGTTATGATTAATTTAAAAGGTTTATCAATATTAAGTCCTAACTTTTTTGCTATCTTATTGGTAATAATACTAATAGCTGCTCCTGTGTCAAATATAGCTTTAATAGGATTATTTTTAATCCTAATGTACGCTTTACAAGAAGTTGTTTTCTTTCCATATTTATCATCTAAGAATTCCAAAAATTAACACTAGATGTTGATATAAGATAATGTCTTAAAGTATTTGTTAAATTTCTTTTTTGAGCTGGTATTTGTAACCACTATCCTAAAGTTACAGAGGATTGTATTGAAAGGATATCATTAGCTATATTATAAGATATTATAATATCACAAAGAATTAATCTGCGAAAAGAGATGTACAAAATGTGGCAAGTACTAGGTGAAAAGGTTGAATCTAATAAAACATCACTTCAAGCAATATTAAGAGAAACTTATGAAAAAACAGGTAACTCAATCAAACCTGAATGTATAATATACCGATATTATGATACACTAAATTTACATTATATATACCTCTTTTTTTTATTTTTAAATGTTTTTCTCATAATTTCATAAACTAATAAATGCATTATAAAATTAAAAAATTAATGTCACATAGAACTGAGTTAACTTTTCAAGATAAGGGGAAAATACTTGCATATATGAAGAATTTTAACCCTACACAAATAGCAAGAAAATGGGTTGTGATCCTATCACAATAAGAAGAATTATTGACAGATACAAGAAAACAGAGAAAACTGAAAATTTACTTAGATCAGAACATCCACTTGCTCTTAATAATAATGAAACAAATACACTTATAAATAAAATTACACAAGATCGATGCGAACCTTTACATGAAGTTATTAATACACTAGGTTTAAATTGCAACCTTACAACTGCTAAAAGAGTATTATATGATATTGGAATTTATTTTCATGTTGCTGCAAAAAAAACCTTTTATATCAAAAAAGTATGCATTAGCTCATATTAGTTAGTGTAAGAAATATAAAGAAAAAAACAGCTTATGATTGGGTACAAGTTATTTTTTCAGATGAATTAAGTGTTGAGATTGGCAAGCAGTCATAATAAATAAAAGTTTGAAAACACACAGGAGAAAGGTTTAACACTGAATGCTTGACACCTACCTTTAAAAGTGATCAAAAATCAGTTATAGTTTGGGAATGTTTTACAGAAGGAATAAAAGGGCCATTAATTTTTTGTAATGAAAATAAAAAAGGAATTAAAAAAATCAATTCAAATACTTACATTAGAATCCTAAATTCATATCTATATATATTTTAATATATAGTTTATGAGTTAACAGGAAGGGTTGCAATTTTTCAACAGGATAATACACCTATTCATATTACGAAAATAACCAAGAATTGGTTAAAGAAGAATAAAATTGTAGTTATTGATTGGCCAGCAAATTCTTCTGACTTAAATCCAATAGAAAATATCTGAAAGCAGTTAAAGACAATATTCAGAGTTGTAAGGTCTTTTTAAGAACTGTGGGTGAACTTAAAGTTGCACTAAGCGAAAAATGGAAAAATTTGGATTACTTTATTTTTGAAGAGATTGTTGCTTTAATACCACAAAGAATAAATGCAATACTAGAAGCAAGAGGAGGATCTACACATTATTAATCATTTTTATAATTATTTTATGTGAATTTTAATGAAATCAATAAAGTTTTGTTATTTTTGACATTAATTTTAAATCGGATATCACTTTCAAATGCAACTGTACATTACTAGAAAAACACTAGGATGGATACTTAAATGAACTGAACTAGAAAAACAAGAAAAATGATGGCCATTTTGTTTCAGAAAATATGCAGATATGGCAGAACTAGAAGAAATTCGTAAAAAAGTGCATAAAAATAAATACTCAAGCGTATATTTACCTGATTTACTAAAGAAGAAATAAGAAAAACCTAAGTTACAAGTTGGACTATTAATTGCTCATCAGCAGAATATTTTTCAATTAACTCTTGAAGAAAATAGTAATTTATGTACTAGAAGTCAAACAGATACAGAATGAATTGTCATCATTAAATATTCTATAATCTTAGAAAAAAATATACTAATAGCACAAATAGCATACAGATGCAGCCTAGATAATCAACAATTTTTGCATCAAAAAATTGAAGATATAAAAAAGAAAGACATTGTTAGAAAATCAAAAAATCTATAAGCCTCACAGTTGTAATAGTAGCAAAGAATACTGGAGATAAAAGAATTTGCGTTGATTATAGAAAATTGAATATAATAATAAAAAAAGATGCTTATCTTTTACTTAGAATCGATGACATATTGAACTCATTTATTAGTTCACCACTTTGAACTTAACTAGTGGTTATTAACAATTTAAAATGAAAGAAAAAGATAAGGAAAAGACTGCCTTTATCATCAATTTTGGATTATATAAATTTAATGTAATGCCTTTTGAACTATATAATACTTCAGGAACTTTTCAAAGACTCATAAATTATATTCTACAACCTTATGCAGCTAAATCTGTCTCAGTTTATTTGGATAATATCATAATGTATTTAAAATCCTTTAAATAACATATCGATTATATTAAACAAGTTTTCCAGATATTTAAAAAAGCTAATTTAAAATTAAGTTAAAGAAATGTAGTTTCTGCATGCTCAACTTAATATTTCTAGGATATATATTTAGAAGAGATCATATTCAACTAGATCCAGCTAAAATTAAAAAAATAAAAAATCACTAATACTAAAAGATGTATCTCAAGTTTGATCAGTTCTAAGATTATTTTCTTATTACAGAAAATTTATTATAGATTTCTCATGAATTACAAAACCTATTAATATCTTATTAAAGAAAGATCAAATATTTTAATAGACTAAAAAACAATAAAATGCATTTAATTGTTTAAAGAATTGTTTAATTAATGCATTAATTCTACAATATCCAAATTTTGATGAAATCTTCTATTTATATATTAATACATCAGGAATAGGTTTAGGAGCTGTCCTAGCACAAAAAGATAAGAAAGAAATTGAATAACTATTGCTTATACAAGTAGAAGCTTAACTTCAGCAGAAAAAAACTATTCAATTACAGATCAAAATGTTTAGCAATAGTATGAGCTATTCAACATTTTCATCATTACTTATGCATAGCTAAATTGAATTAGTTACAGACTATTTAGCATTAAAATGGTTAAAAATATTGAAAATACTAAAAGGATGATATGCCTAATGGATGATAGAATTATAATCCTATAATTATACTATCCAGCATAGAAAAACATAATGCAAATGCTGATACCTTATTAAGAATAAATGATGAACAACCTAAGAAGTAAGAAAATGTTTAAAAATCTTTATAGTATTTATCTGTAATATAGAATTTAAAATTGAATAGTATTCTCCAATAAAGAAAAATTCAACTTTTAATTCTGAAGAATTATGGTTTGAGAAATAATTACACTAACTATTTACAAATGAGCCATTAATTATAATCATTGGATATCAATCATTTAAAAATGAATTAAAAGATATCTATCATGAATATATTAAAGTTAAACAAATTATTATTAGACAACCTATTATAAAAGAAGGATCACAATGTACTTTTAACTGTGACACTAAGAATCATCATATTCATATCTACTGTAAAGCATGTAAAAAGAATTTACTTTATAATACAGTTATTCATAATTATATTGTAGGATATGGATTAGAACAAATACAACTTGATATAAATCCTAATTATCTCTGTAATGATGTATTTTAGGAAGAATCATTAGCAGTACAACAACAAAATAATAATATTTATTGAAAAATTTGAAGAACTTTTTGATAAAGTTCCTTTATATTAAAAACTAATTTTTTTTTATTAAGATAATAATTAAAGTGAAAGTGAAAGGGTCTACATTATAATAGGCAGCTCTTTAATAAAATAAATAATATATATTATACCAATATTTTTAATTATTTAAAGATAGAATTATTACTACTTATTTTAACAATAATAGAAAAACAAAGAATTAAATGACAATTAAAAAATTATATTATTAAATTTGATATTTATACAAAGATAAAACTATTACACCTGAATGATTATTGAGAGTAATAAAAATTAATAAATTAGACACTTTATTATATATAACAGATAGTATATTTGATAAGATTAGAACACAATATTACTAGTCTTAAATTAAAACTAAAAATAAAATAAAATAAAATAAACCTAATATGAATATTTAATAAGTTAACAAATATATTAATAAACTAATAATTTTTTAAAGATTCATTTATTTAAAAATTATTAGTATATTAATTAAAAGATATAAAAATAGTATATCAAAATATTTTACTTACTAATATCATTATTTGTAAAATTTAGAATTTCTATTTAAGTAAAAATTTAAATTAATTTAGAAATTTCTCTTAATTAATAATGATAAATATTATAAAAACTATTTTAATTACCAATAACTTGACTAATTCCTATTTCATGTGATTCATTGTTTTGATCATTTTCGTAATCAAAAATCTCTTTTCCTTCTCATTTAAAATTTCATTTAATTTAGTTAAATCAAATAATTGACTTGTATAATATGTGCATGAATGAAATTCAATAAAAGGTGTAATATTAGCTTATTCTTGTTTTAATGCTATATCTGTCATATTAAATACTTTAAAATCGTAATAATTGATCCAGTTAAAAAAGTATCCTTAATTTCAAAAGTGGTTGACCTATTTAATAGATTCTTATTTCAACATTTTTTCATTAAATTTATATAAATTTGTGGGGTATTTCTAACTATTTCAGGACGTTCGTTCATCTTTACAAATACTTAAAGCAAGTTGTTCATCATGTGCTCTATTTTTAAATAGAAAAACTTCAGATATTAGTTCCTATATAATTATAGAAAAACTATAAATATTACTGGCTGGTATATAAGGTTGACCTCTTAAAACTTCAGGTGCAATAAATGGTAAAACATCACAAACATCACTATTTCTAAATGATTGCAAATAATTTATAAGTTTACATAATCCAAAATTACTAATATAAATAGATGAATTATCATATAAAATATTTCTATCATGAAAATCACAATGAACCAATTTTAAATTATGTATTACATTGAGTCCTTCAATAATATTCAATAATAATAATAATTTATTTTTCCAATCATATTTAATTATTACTAGTAAATTTCTTCTTAAACTACCCTTATTTGCATATTTTATTAATATAATATATTCTAAAGTATTTGGATCTTAAGTAAATCTATATAAATGAATTAATGAATTATTACCATTATAATGATATTTTCACTATAAATTAATACAAATTAGTTTAAAATAAATTATTTATATATCAATAAATAAATAAATATATATGTATGTATTTAAATATACCTCTTTTAAAAATTCATCATTTAAATTTAATAAGTTTTTAAGCTATTTAAGAGCTACTATTATATAACTATTTCTAATTCATTTATGTTCATTATAAGCATAATATTCAATACAAATAGCTTTATATATAGTACTAAATCCTCCTTTATCAACATATTTAATATTTTTAAGTTTATCATAAGAAATCCATTCTAATATTTTCTTATTATTTTAAACATTTAATTGAGTTTTTTGAATAAATTTATCAATAAATTTATTATTACTAGTCCAATTAGAAAATCTTTTTAGAATTACACTTTTTACATCATTGAAATCCAGTATTATATTCATTACAATTTAAATAAATTCCTATATTTTCTAATTAAATTTTAAGTTATTGAATTTTATATATTAAAATAATAATAAGATAAAAAAAATACTTACTTAATTATATTAAATTATAATATTTAAAACAAATTTAAATTATAATACAATATATAAATAAAATTAAAATTAAAATAATATACCAACTATAATATTAATATTAAATAAAAATTTCATATTTAATTATAATAAAATATTAATTAAATATAAATAATTAATAAAAATAACTTACAATCTAAAATATTATTTAAAATAATAATTTAGAAAATTTAAATAATAATAAAAAATACAAATAAATAAAATTAACTTATAATCTAAATTATTTAAATATTTATAAATAAGAAACTTAATTGAATTTAATTATAATTTAATATAAATAATTAAAGATAATTTACTATCTAAATTATTTTAAATAAAAATATAATTAAATTAAAATTATAATAAAAATATAGTTAAATTTAAATAAATAATTAATTTATTATCTATAAATATTTTTTAAATAAAATATCTAATTAATATTTAATTATAGTAAAAAATATAGTTAAATACTATTAATAAAATAACAACTTACTTTTTTTTAAATATTTTTAAATATAAAATTCAATTAAATATAATTAAATACAAATAATTAATAAAAATAATTTACTATCTAAATTATTAAATATTTATTTAATAAAAATTTAGTTAAGTTTTAAAATTATAAATTAAATTTAATTATAAAATTATTATAAAAAAAAGTATAGTAAAATATTTACATTTCTTAAAATTAAAGCTCTTTGAATCATATTGTATATTGAATTCCATCTAGTAGATACATCTAAAATTAGTTTTAAATCATTAATTTGATTATTTTTACATGTATTACTTAATTTTTCA